ACTCCAGAGCGGCGCCACCCGTGGCATGTTGTCGTCATTGACCGGTATTACTCGTCAGTGATACTTGCTGTTGAGCTACTAAAGATGCAAATCTATGTGATTGGGACTATTTAAATGAACCGCCTGGGCTTCAACAAGAAGATCCTGCCAAAAAGCAAGACACGCACTGGAGCCATCCCCCGCGGCTCATTCGTGTATTCGCGTTCGGTCGCCGTCCCCAGTATGGTTTCGTACCTCTGGTGGGATCGCAAACCAGTATACTATCTGTGTACTGGCTCCGTTTTGACGCCATCCACAATTGAGAGGAAGGTCAAGCGAATTGAGAGGAAGGTCAAGCGAATTGGCGCGATTCAGGCCGAATGCTCCTCGACGGTGAACGACTATTAGAACTGGATGGGCGGAGTCGATCGCCACGATCAACTCCGCCCCCAGTCATACTCGCTTCAGATGTCGACGCGGTTTTCTAAGTATTACAAAAACCTTTTTCTTGGCTTTCTTGATCTCGCGCTGGTAAACGCGTACCTCTCTCACAAAGAGGCGGCCAAGGTGAAGCAAACGATAGCTATGAGGCGTTCTGAGTGGTTCTCGGTCCTTCAAAACCAGCTTCTACAGCGGAAGGCCGTGGATTTTGCGGGGATAGAGATGACACCACCCCCGTCAAGCCAGAAGCGAAGGCGCGCACCGATCCGGCTACCCATGGCGTTCAGATGCCATGGGTAGCCGGATCGGTGCGTCTGAAGATTGAGTCACCGTTAGCGGCGTCCAAAAACGCCGTCAGCGATCTTGTAATGTCTGCGCGCTCTTGCGTACAGACGAAAGAAAGTCGTTTGCAACGTCTTACTATTGCGAGCGCTACTCTATCGACAGTGCCAAGTGCCGGTTATGCAACAGGATTCGCCGAGACTACAAGGGTGTTGCCACTACCTGTTTTGAGATCTGGCACGACGACTTTCAGGCCGGCCAAGCGATTTCAACTTAGGGAAGCGAGTTGTGCTGCGTCGACCGGACCAAAGTGTTGGAAAGCGCAAGAAAACGAGGCGGAAACTCCAGCTTCGCCGTGGTCAAGGCGGCGACAGCGGAAGCAGTGGCGACGATGATAATGATGGCAACGATGGGTAGTTTAGGCTGCGTATCAAGTGATGAATGGTTAGTTTCGTGTTGTTGAATGCAACGTTTCTTGAGCTGACGTACCTTCTCCCTTGCACTTTCTGAAATGAGCGCCCTGACATTGTACCATCTAAGCCATCTGTTGAATGGATTAGTCGATAGCTACGACATTGACTCGGAAACCTGGTGAAAGCTTATATGCCAATCTCCTTAGTAAACACATGGACAATACATACACCAAGATCATATGAATGGCGTATCTTACGACATACGCTTGCACGTTTTTGGCGAGTACCGTTCGGAGCCAATGTATTAAATATACCTGAGGCGTCCTCACCTCAGTAAGGACCTTTAGAACATCTTGGGGGGGGGCGGGAATAACGGCGTTTTTATTGGGAAAGTGGCATCCTATTGTGAATTCAAGAAATATTACCAGTGTAAGTTTTTCACGACGCTTCAACCGATCCGCGCGGGTGGGTCAACGTTGGTTGAGATTGAGATCTCCTGTACTTTTTCATACATGCATCTTGTTTTGTCTTTTCCTTTTAAAGTACTCCGAGCCGGGCGTGTATTACGCCGTTATGACCTTATCATCTGCTCCTGTTGTTACGAGCGAGGCCATGACTTATGGTATCTACTCTAAGGCTCTAATTTCCGTGCGCGGTTTTTTTTAATGAACGCGCAAGCAATAGTGTAAACTGTTTTTGACTTGCCTTGAGAAAGAATCCACTTAAGTACGAAATACGACCACTTGCCTTCAGACAATTACAGATTCAAAATTATATGCGAAACTTAGATAGAAGTTTATTATTAGCATATTTCTAAGTGTTGCATACAGGGGTCAGTATGTCATGAATGGCAAGACTCAACATATCGAAAAGTCATATCATGCTGGCAGAAGTTTCTGATACACATTTGCATCTCGATTCGCTTTGTCTGCGTCACGGTGAAGCACCAGAGCAAATTCTCGTCGGTTTTGAAGCATGCCATCACTACCACTGCTACCAATTCATAAAACGGTGGATTTGGCTGTTACACCACGTTCATTTCCGGACTTGCTCTTCGTACACCATGTCTCTAAGTACCCTGACTGTATTTTTTGGCACAGAAGTTGACTCAACCGAATTGAAAGCTCGAGTGCTGGGAGTTTCGAGCCAGGTTGCCATCAACAGTAGTGATATTTCGGCTTTCGCGTCGGGATTTTTGATAGATACTCTGGTTGTCATCCATGAGGAGGGTGAGAGAGCAGGGCCGTCTATCGAGAAACTAAAAGCGATCTTAACGTCTTCGTAAATCTCCCCGGAAAAGCTTCAAAGACAGATGAAGGACGGAAAACCCGCTGACACAGTATTTAAGCGCATGCGCCTCGACAAGAACACGTACACACTGTTCCACAGCCCTCAATTTCGTTTGTGGGTCCAATACGTCGACGACTTGAGGAAAACTTCGAAGACGGAGGCTCTCCGCCATATCGATCCTGGCTGCTCGGTATGGCGCGATGAGGTGTACAAGATGATTGACAGAGCCAAGTGGAGCCCGAATTTGAAAATGTGAAAAGCCTCGCAAAACAGCTCGAAACAGAGTAGCTGCAACACTGGGTAGCCTTGCCAAAGGATCCCGACGAGGCTTCCCACAAGCTCTTTCTTGACACCATAGGGCAGCGCTCTGCTCCAATTGACAGAGATAGCGAAGGACAATGCAGCACTCAAAAGCATCGCCACTAAGGTAGAGGAAGATCTGTTTTTCGTCTGGTAAAACCACCGAAAACTTCCAGACGACGCTCTGCTAGAATTTGGCTTTGACTAATCGATAAACGGCATGCTGAAGAGTCCGACACTCAACACTTGGGCCAAGTACTTAAATGCCTATAACTCGAGATGAGCCAATGACCGCGATCAAGGCGTTCACATATAGATTCCGACGTATGGAAGTGAAGCATTTACTTGCACGAGCGAAGTCCGACGACAGGGCGAGGTAGATTCTAATAAAGCTGGAATCTACACAGCTCGATATGTGGATGAAGAGTAAGAAATCCACTGACGACGTGTTCAAATTACTGAAGCTTACTGAATGGAAGCACGACTTCACTGCCACTCAGCACCTGCTGGGTCTCGTACATAAATACCGTAATCATTAATGACCCCGGCAAGATGGCTACGCTGTTTGCGACGTTGGAGACCGCTCCTACAAATCCTCCAAGCAGCACATAAGTTTCCTATCTTGGAAAAGGCGCCAACCAAGTTGCAAATGGAGAAGGCCCAGGTCATTTTTGCAAGTAAGAAACACTTCAAGGAAGCCTTTATCATGTTAGAGCTTAATATCTGAGTAGCTTTCTCTTTAGCGAATGAATGCGCTTAGTGAAAATTGTCAGCAAGAAGAATCTGAAAATTTGAGCTCCCGGTTTAAAACGCTTTGTGTTGAGCACCAATGACCTGCTATCGACCTAATGATCCAGTAGGTGATGCAAATCTCAAACACAGTGGTGGGAATCGCAAAAACGGTGGAGCGGGCGTGGCTAAAGCAATGGCTAGACTGGCAAAAAAAACCAAGCGATGCCTTTGAATTCTTGGCCCTCAGCAACATGACTCTTCAAGTGTTAAACGTAAAACAAATATCTGAATGACCTCAATCGTCGATATCCTGATCAGAAAGAGAGTATGATCGATGGAGCTATAGCGATATCAATTACTGGAAGCAGCGAACGAAGCTTCACGTACGAAGCAGCTGGCCATAAACCTACAGAATGCGCTGTTCAACAAATGGGTAGCGGAGAAGGAGAAACCGAGCGAGCTCATGAGGAGGTTCGGTCGCAGCAATAACGCTGATGAAATGATCCAGCAATATGTCAAGAAACTCCCGGCGATTAAAAAACAAGCATAGATAGCTACGCTTCTCCTAATTATTAGCAATAATATATATATACAAAAGAAAGTTTAGCTAACAAAGCCGACGAGGCAAGGTGACGAACCGATTATTCTTCAAGAAAACCAATAAACGGCCGACTCTACATCTGAGAGTGGAGGGACAGCTTTGAAACTCTTCTGCAAGATGTTTTTAATCGACAAAAGCTTGCATGACACTCGTGCCATTGCAAATCACTGCAGCCTTGCCGTCCCAATTGCTGGTATATGTAACTAGGAACTTCTAGAGGGCACACAGTGCCACCTGAGCTCCTTCCAACACAGGGTACACGAATGTTGCCCGTTGAGATCGAAACCATTGCGACGCATTGGAGGTTCTCGTCCAATGCAAGACCGATCAGCTCCAGACCACGCCCGGCACCGCAATTGTCGCTCCGATACGTTAAGTACGAATTAATAGGAAACGCCAATGATATTGTCTTGCAGCTCGACACATGTAAAGTCTCGGCTGGAAATCGATCAGCTGCGACTTTGCCTTGGGCAGTTTCTAACCCGCAACGCTACGGCTCGTGGAGAAAAATGCAACTCGGACATTGTAGTCCAGAGTTCAGGCTTGTAGGTATTCTCGAAGCTCTATTGCTGCTTGAATAAAGTTGATGACGGCGTCGACACTCGACCTCATTTACTGCCCAGATATCCGTAGCCAAGGATGCTGACAGAGTGACGGTGCAAGTACTTTTTAGGCATTTTACTGAAGGTGGGGATTTCATGAATTGGCTTTTTGTTTGACACAAGAGCGTTTCGTGAAGTAGAAGCGGAAATATCCGGGATGGATACTCCTATCTCCGGGAGTCGTGCCGTTGCCTCGCGATCTGATTGGAAGCCTCACAGATAAGTTTAGAGTAGATGTAGATAGTTTCGGTAGCTCACTTTCGATTTCTCTCGGCGAACCCGCCCTCCGACTCGATATCAGCAAACGAACATAAATTTTGCCCCATGTGACTGCACTTGATGATAAACTCTCTAATGACCATCACTCTATCACGCCAATAGTGATATTCGACACGTTGTGCAGAATTTACTTTAAGCGAAAAAAGTATGAAGAAATAGCTAAAAGAGAAAAAATAGTGGGTCTGCAACTATTTTTTACGGATCGGGTTTGGATTCCTAATTCTTCTTGTATAGGGAGAGCGCGTGCTCGACGTCTGAGGCCAGTTTTTCTGTAGTTGGATTGCTCTTGGCCGTTTTGATCATCTGAAACAGCTCATCCTCATCATAGTATTTCAGAAAAGTTCTAATCATGTCTGGCTTCTGCTTGTAGTAAGTGGCCATGTACTGGATCCATATCTCCAAGAACGGACTGGCGAAAAGCGTTTTGCCTGCTAGTTCAAGATCGAGGCCTTCAAAGATTTGATCCGGGGTCCTGGTCTTACGAGAGACATTCCAGTTTTTCAACAGCTCGCGCTCCATGCGTTTAGCAATCTTCTCTGTACTTGAGACTTTCATCCCTGAAATAATCATCTTGACCAACGATTTGTCATCATGATGTCCACGTACTGTCTTCATCATGGTTCTTTGTAAATCAGGAAACGTCAAGTAGAAGTCATCGAGGTACTGAATCCAAGTGGCAAATTGGGGGCTTGCTAGTAGGTCGTCTCCCTTCTCGGCGAGTCGAAGCATAGAAAAAGTATCACTTGGGAGTTTGCCGACCATACGCTCCACGAGCTCGATATTAACGCCTGTAGCCGCCAGCATCGTCCATATGGTCGTTTCCTTGCCGTGATTTTCACGGTTGTATGCACTCAGATATTTGCCCCATGTGATCACCAGCGGGTTCGTAAATAGCTCATCTTTTTCTTGAGCAAGGTGAAACACGTTAGTAAAGAGGTACTCCGGAGTCCAGCCTTTCTGCATCCAACGTTGAAATAACTCGCTCTGTAGCTTCTTGGCAGCACCCGCCGTATCTTTCACGTGTGTGGCCTTATCAAGCAATGAAACCAGGTTGAGTTCTCCATAATTCGCAGCCATAGTCCCGATCAATGTAGCCTTGTATTTGGGATTGGCCGCGTTGTACTCCTTCATATAGTTGATCCAAGTCTTCAGCTGCGGGTTGCTCAGCACATCGTCATCAAACTTGTCAAGCTTGAGTTGCTTGAAAAATGCGTCTGGAGTTCCTTTCGCCAGCCACTTCTGCTCGGTCTCCAATTCCCTTATCAGTTTCGCTGACCCAGGGACATTCTTTGCCGATTCCAGCATTTTTATCAGTCCGTCGCTGTCGTAATGCGCTGCCAAAACCGACATTAAGCTCGTTCTTTTGTCAGGGTTTGCTGTGTTGAGATCATCCACGTACGACACCCACTTCATGAATTGAGGGTGATCAAACAGCTTTTCACCTGCCTTGCTTAGCGACAAGAACTGGAAAACATCTCTAGGAGACTTCTCAGTATACAGCCAACGCTTGATTTGCTCGTCCTGAAGGTTAGCTGCAAGTTTAGCGGTACTTGGCGACCTCATAGCGTCGAACAGCATAGCTGTCAACTTGTCGTCGCCAAAGTAATTCGTCATAACTGCAATTCTCGATATCCGTGTATTTTTCGAGTTGAAATCGTCCAGATACGTTAGCCACGTCGCAAACTGCGGATTTTCAAGTAGTTTGTCACCTGCCTTGTCGAGTGCGAGGAACTTGAAAACGTCTCTAGGGCGCTTTCCAGCGTCCAACCAGAGCTGAATTTGCTCGTTATGTAGTTTTCCAGCGACATTCGCTGTACTGGGGGTCTTCATTGCTCTAATCAAAATGGTTGATAGCGCTTCATCACCGTAGTGAGTCGTCAAAATCGGGATGCTCTCGTCTACCTTGCTCATGGTCTTCTCTTTAAAGTTAGTCGCGTAGCTTAGCCACGCTGTGGCAAGCGGGTTTTCAAGCAATTTATCACCAGCCTTGCTCAGTTCCAGCAGCTTAAAGACATCGGCCGGTGCCTTTTTGTTGTCTAACCAGTACTGGAGTTGTCTGGTCTGCAAGTCGGTAGCTAGAACCTGCGTCTCTGGGTTCCTTTGAGCGGCAATGATCATGTTCGACAGGGGTTCATCACCGAAGTAGGACGTCAATTTTGAGATCGTTGTTTTTTCGCGTGCAGGATGCGATGCAGATAGGTCATCGCTATACTTGATCCACGTAGCGAATTGAGGGTTGCTGAATAATTCACCCTTTCGTTCGAGCTTCAGCCAAATGAAAACGTCGTCAGCCGTTTCTCCTCTCTTGAGCCAACCCTTTAGAGTTTTTTCGGAGACTTTCGATGACATAAACATACTTTTTAAAGTCCCTATTGTGGAGGACGGAAGCCCCCGCTCTTCATGCGATCGTAGCTTTCTAATCGAAACGATACTCACCTCACCAGGTAAGGGCTGCAGTACGCGAGGGAGATCAAACGCCAGCGAGACATTGACACCTGCAAGAAGCGAAATGACTACTAGCAGAAGAGTACTGCGCACACGCCATGGTCGTCGTAGCTTATTTTAGACCTAGAAAAACGAAATAGTGTGGCGGAGAGGGCAAATCGGATACTGTGACCTACTTCTTTAAGTACAGGCCTATTATTGCAGATTGCGGGCGTATATTGAGCGTAATCAGCGTTCACCGGATCGTCATCCTCCCCCCCCTAGACTAGGGGGGTAAGATGACGATCCGGTGAACGTAGGGCCTAGTGGAGTGTGTTGTCTGTCCGTCCGTCAGTCCGTCCGTAACGGGCTAGGGTTAATAATCCTCACGCTATAATAATACGCGCGTTCTACTGGCTGCCGAGCGCAGCGAAGGCGGCCTCAATTCGCTAAAAAGCTGCCGAGCGCAGCGAAGGCGGCCCCCATTGGCTAAAATTTCCCGCTTCCTTACCGAGTAACCTGTCTGTCCGTCCGTCTGTCAATAAGTCCGTCCGGCTCCTTTCTTGCTGCTTTTTCCTGCCTTTTCGCAAGGCTACACTCGGCCTGTCTAATACAGTTTCTTCCCATCTTATGGACAGCGCCTATCTTTCTGACTCGACCTAACTATGCCAAAATTACAAATATATCCAAAAGCGTCACACAATTAACTCGCGCCCTGATTGGGCAATACCTGCCGACCTGCGACACTGACTGGATCTGTTGCACGATCAGACCGTCTCTCGCCCTCGCGATTGGACGTGATGTAAACATTTCTGCCGAGCACGAAACGCCGATTAGATGCAAACGGCCAGGCGAGCTGTTGATTATTGCGCAAAACCTGTCGTATGTACTGCAAATCGGGCACACTAACCACTTTATTTTCTAAGAGCTCTGCACACTTCTCAAATAGAGATATTTATCATTATTAATGTAGACTTCACAGACCAGTATTTTGTAAGAGCTCTGGGATGTTATTTTCCACACACTTTTCAAAGTAAAGACGATATTAGTAGTACTAATAGGATTAATATAAGCTTCACAGGCCGCATTTGTAAGAGCTCGGCGATGCTATTTTCCACACACTTTCTAAAGTAGAGACGATAGTATTTTTAATATTAAAGTAGACTTCACGACCAGCGCTTTTTGTAGCGACTTTGCGAATATATATATTTTGTACTTTACCTGGAACTCACCACTGCCACCGTGCAATGAAGGCGCGCAGCTGCACGGGCATTTTGCTATCTGCTCCCGTGCACCACACCCGACAGATGCATGCGCGCACGATAGATAATTGTCTTAGGCAATTTATATTGCATGTAAAGTATGTTTTGTTTGGAAATCTGATAATAATATATTATAGCAAAGCCAAAACGTTAGTATCAACTTTTTAATATGTTTCTAAATAATAATACCAGCCTTATATTTCCAAGCTATTGGCTAATATTTGGACGCAAGTAATTGGTTAAAACAATATATTTTGCTAACATACCCACAGTTTGCAAAATGGTTAAAACAATCTATTTTGCTAACATACCCACAGTTTGCAAAATGGTGGGCCCTACGTGCAAGCAATGCGAGGCGAGGATTGACCCGCTTCTGCTGAACCCGCAGCGGTCTACGACGGATGCACGGGCGCGCTGCGTCGGCTGCGGGAAGCTGCAGTACGGCTACGCATTCCGTACAATCAGCGGGCGGGACATCGTGCGGCGCTGTATTGTCTGCGAGAACGACCCAACAGCGGTTGAGTTCTGGGAGGAAAAGCCCCCACCACCTGATTCGGCCGAAATGCGCCGCCAGGAAAGCCTGGCAAACGTCAAGAAGGTGATGGGCCCTGACTGGTACCCCAAGAGTTAAAAAAGACACAGCCACCCTCGCAAGCTGACCGCCCGAAACGCCAAGTACATCGAGCGAAAGTAGCAGCATGTAACGGGGTAAGAGATACCGTTACTAGCTTGCACTGTAATGCGGAGGAAGCTCGCAATAATAAAACCAAGTCTTAGGTTTGTGTCAAATTCAACTCTGATTTAGGGCGGCTACCCCTGGCCTCGTGTGAACCACTCAAACACATGTCTATATCTGATTGGTCAATAAGTGAGTCTGGCTCCTCACTATCAACCAATCAGATGATGACACCTTGGCACACGCTACCCGTGTGCCACTTTACCTACTTATGTAATAACTAAAGAAATATCTACCTACTTATGTAATTGGAGTTGGGCCCATTACATCACCCTCCTCTCTAAGTTGCGCTTACGCAACATAAGCGCACGGAACACAATTGAAGAAAACTCGAAAACCCAACGGAGCGAAGATGGCCGAGGACACCACGACGCAGTCAACGGACGTTAGCACCAGCGCGACGCTGGTGACAGCAGCAAGCATCGACACACTAACGGCGGCGGTAACCCAGACAGCCGAGACCGGCGGAGCCGACAGTCACGAGGATCAGCGCCGGAAGCACGCGGTCGCGCGTGATGGACGACGCCCTGGATCCCTGGGACCTGTACGACTGTCAGGAGCGGAGAATCCGGATACGCTCGACACTATGAAGAGCCACTTTCGTCGCTTCCGTGCGACGCGGAAGAAATACATTGAATGCGCTGATCGTGAAGGACTTCGTCGCTCCTGGTGTGCCTTCATCCGGCGATGGAACCGGATGTCGCATGCTGGAGAAAGCTTTGTCGACTGGTTGACGTATCTCGAGGAGATCCTCGCGGATCATTCGATTGGAGAGCTACGCGTGAAGGTCTGCAACAACGCATGGGATGTGGATCGACTCTGCTTCGTGCACGTGAGAGAGGGATGTGAGTCCTGTGGTACTTCAACCCGTCCGACTCAACGCGAATGGAGGGAACATCTCGCTGAGCGGCCACTCAGCGGAGAGGAGTCGGGATGGATCGGGAAGTACGAGCACACCCTGTCCAGTATGGATCAGGCGGCTAATCGCGGCGGCTCACGCCGACGTTACACGCGTCGGAGCGCGGCGTCGTTGTCGCCTCCTCGTGCGGGTCGTTCTCGTGGCCGTTCTCGATCTCGTTCACGGGTCTCCGCGGGGTGACTCGCGGAATTCTTCTTCTCAAGTAGCATGGTCTCATACTCGTGGACCACGTCCGGAACGTCGCGGAGAAGGTTGGCGCGGGACTCCCACGTATCATGTTCTGGGGAATAACCGAGCCAACGTACCAAGTAGCGGCGCGCGGTCGGAACCGCGCGAGGAGCACGACTACGGACGTTTCGTTGAGCGGTCGAGCTGTGGGGATCTTCATGGTCAACGATACGCTCCACAATCCAGCGCGCGTCACCCACCGAGTCAATTATCGGTGGTGGGCCTTCACGATGATACGGCGTACGCCCTGTACGTTCAGGGCGAGGTGGAGGCAGCTTCGAACCGCGCGTTGGACGCTCAGGTTGGGGCTGAGCGGGCGGAAGATCGTGCCTGGCGGGCTGAGCAGATCGCGTCGGAGCTTCGTCAGTCGAATCGGGAGCTGTTATCTCGCCTACGGGGATTGGAGACGCATGTGCTTGGCTCTGCCCAGCAGGAAGATCGTCCGCGAGAGCGGGCGCCAGGGGCTGACGGCTTTCTGGCGCGTCAGGCTCGTCGGGCTGGTCGCCCGACGCATGCTCCGTCTGCTGGATTTGAATCAGGAATCGTCGCAGGGAAGTACCGCTTGAGTCGCCCGACGTAAAACGTCGGGTGGAGTCTAAGTGACGACGGGATGTCCAAGGTGTAGGCGTCGCCCACAGCCTTGGTTACACGAAATAGACCGATGAAGCGTGGGGCAAGTTTGTTGGCGCCGAGGCTGGTCACGGCGGAAGCGCGGATTCCCTCGGTCGATAGGAGAACGCGATCTCCTATCTTGAATACATTCACGTTCTTTCGACCGTGCTTATCAGCTTGTTTCTTTTGCTTGTCCACTGCGTTCTGCAGTGCGTCGCGGACGAACCTTGCGATGGATTGCCTTTGCATGACGAATTCCGCAACTGCCGAGCGATCGGCAGGAAGCACCGAGGGTTTCGGTGTATAGTTTGCCGTGGTAACTTCTTGCTCACGAATCTTGCGGCCTGGATCGATCAAGTTCTGCGACGTCCATCTCGTTATCGGAGATGCAGTATGCCGAGGAGGCTCGATGGACTGCTTGGACGGAGAACGAGTCAGGGCGTTTGCACTGGCTACACCCGAAGATAACCCTGAAGTCGAGTGCGCCGGCAGGCTTGTTGACACCGGTGAGGCTACCGGTGCGTGCTGAGACACCGGTTCACGTACCGGTGATGACCACGACACGGACACGTTGTCCCTAGAGCTGAGCGCAGCTTCAGCATCCATGTCGACCGAAGGAGGTTCTCCCCCACCAAGGGTGGAGCCGCCAGCATCCGTGGGGTGACCCACGGCGAGAAGTGCCGGAATACGTGGGTGGCGTGCGTTGTTCACGAAGAACGGCGTCATACCCGTCGAGGAGTGCTCGGCGTTGTTGAGTGCGAACTCGGCTAGCGGTAGGAACGAGCTCCAGCTCGTGTACGAAGTTGCATAGCTGCGGAGAACGTCTTCAAGGACGCGGTTGACGCGTTCTGTTTGTCCATCCGTCTCCGGATGTGCCGTAGTTGACATCAGCAATTTGGTTCCCAATAGCTCGAAGAGGCGTGACCAGAACGCGGATGTAAACCCGGGTCGCGGTCGGACACGATAGACTCCGGCAGGCCGTGGTGACGAAAAATCACGTCGACGAAGTGAGCCGCGGACTCTTCCGCGGTGATGGAGGCCGCCACCGGAACGAGATGGACCATTTTGCTGAAACGATCGACGAACACAAGTACACCCGTGCGCCCGGCTGTATCGGGCGGAAGACCGAAGATGAAGTCCATCGAAATGGAGCGCCAGGCTTCCGTGGCGACCGGAAGAGGGCGCAATGGGGCCTGAGACGTCGAAGACGGTTTGACTCGCTGGCAAGTTTTCACATGTGCGGACCCACTTGCGTACCCACTTGTACATGTACGGCCAATAGAAGTCTCTCGACAGAGCCGCGTACGTCTTCTCGCGACCGAGATGTCCTCCAGTCGGGGCGTCATGATACTCGTGGATTATGCGCGCACGTAGATCAGCGTCGTTTGGGACGACGACTCGAGGTCCATCGAGCCTGTCGATGCTGTACTTGAGCAGATTACCGTCCAGTCGATATCGATCGATCTGATTCCGCGTGGTCTTGGACAGGGCACTTAGCGTGTCACTACTAGGAGCACGCAGGTGCTTCATGATGGCGCCGTATATAGGGTCATCAGCGTACGCTGTAGCAATCTCGTCGCCCAGCGGGAGCGGAATCTCCGGTGCGCAGAAGACACATTTCTTCAGGTTTGCGTAGAGCTTGTTCTCTCGCATCACCTGGAATACTTGTCTCAGGTGTTTCAGATGTACGTCCACGGCACTGAGGTTGCCCTCAGCGCGGCTGTGCACGAAGATGTCGTCGAAGTAACTCGGCGCGAAGTCTCGAAGCGGGCGAAGCACATGGGAGACCATGCGATTGAAGGTGGCAGGCGCGTTCTTGAGGCCCTGTGGCATCACGAGCCACTCCCAGAGCATTCCGCTCGGTGTACTTACGGCGGTGAGAGGTACATCAGATGTTCTCATCAGGATCTGATAGAATCCATCGGTCAGGTCGATGGCGCTGTAGATGACGCTGCCAGCCATGGAGTCCAGTACCATATCCTTCCGAGGGATCGGAGTCTGCGCGGGGATGGTGGCATCATTCAACTTGTTGAATGCGTGAACGATACGCCATCCCCCTGTGGCTTTCTTCACACAGAACGTTGGACTGGAATGGGGAGAGGTACTCTCACGCACGTGACCCGCCTTTCGGCGGCCCTCGAAGAAGTCATCGATCGCTTTCACTTGATCATGCGGAAGTGGCCATTGTCTGGTAACGCAGTACTTCGTACCTGGCGCGAGGTCGATCTCATGCTGAACTCCACGATCCGCCGGTAGCTCGGCGGGGATCTCATCCGGGAAGACGTCGGCGTACTCGCAGGCGGTGTCGTATACGGGATTCGCTGACTCCCGCAAGGCCTCCCAAGACTGCGTTTGGAATCGTTCCTCTCGAGCAGACTTAGGTTCAGCACCTAGCGGACGTGAGCGTACACTGTCCGTTGCGACCGCATTTGCTGCCTCATCCACCGAGACTGCCTCGGTGACCAAGCATACTTGCTCGACGTCTCCAGCCTTGAGGTCCCGAAGAAAGTTCTTCCAGGACAAGCCTGGAAGGCGTGTGATCGCCGCCGCTTCGCGCGGCGGGCTCGCGATTGCGATGCTGCGCGACCGATTCGGGCCTCCTTCCACGTACTCCAGCGCGCTGACCGATTCCATCGGCGGGCTATCGCTGGTCGTGTAGTCTCGACGAGATTTAAGGCGTCGTCGCTTCGACTTCTTCTTCAAATTCCTCGAGCTTACGCTCGAGTCTGACGCACTGCTACTCGACGATGCATCACCCTCCTCTAGGCGCGGGAGACCGTACTCGACCAGGCCGGGAACACGCGGGAGCCCCTGCTCTACCGCGTCATCGTTTGACGGGAGCCCAATGTGCTCGACCGCCGAATCGTTCGGCGGGAACCTCTGCTCTACCGCCGTCTCGTTGTGTGGGAGCCCCTGCTCGACCACTGTCTCGTGTTGTGGGAGCCCCTGCTCGACCATCATCTCGTGATGGTGGGAGCCCCTGCTCGAACCACCGTCTTGTACTGGTGGGAGCCGCTGCTCAACCACCTCGTCATCCTACCTCGCGAAACCGCGAGGGCTCTTCGTCCAACAACGAAG